CTTGCTATGGAGCTAACGAGTCTTTGTCAGCACTCACTTTCGCGCTAAAAAGCGGAGTTAATAAATTTGTGTATTTTTTAACTTCTAACTTTCGCAGTTACTGCCAGCCAATTTATATATTACACATTAAAAACCTTTTAGCTTTTTGTTAGATTAGCCAAATTGGTAGTGACATTGTGTTACATTAAAAAACGACAGTTATTTTTGTTAAAATTGTAATAAACAAAAGGAGTTACGCATTTTCAAATCTTTCTTCTTCAACATTTTTTTTAGACATTCCCCCAGCTAATCCACATTTCTACCTTTTTTTGCTTTGCTTAAATTTTTCGCGCATTTTCTGTTAAAGTATAGTTAAACACACTTTTTCGGAGCATTTCTTCTTCTTACTCTAAACACTTTCGACTTTTCCCTTTACAGCATCCTTGTTTTCCCTTTATTTCCTTCTCTGGCGTTTTTTTTTTTATTTTTATTTTTTATTTTTTTTTGTATGTTGCTTGTTTTTCTACATGTAGTGCATAAAACTTGAGAATATCAGACTCAGAGTAATTGCAAAGCGGCATACTCTGCTTCACTCTCCATTAGTTTTTCGTCCTTTCCTCACGGTGACATATGTATCCCACTGGCCCATTTAATTTGTCTTCTTATCTTCTGGTTTTGTCTCCACCTCCTGTTGTTCATGTTGCTCAATTTCCTTTATTTGGTTTTGTAGATGAACATCGCCATCTGCTGGTGGGTTTGCATTAGCAGTAATTGACGTCGTTTTTGTTGTTGCTAAAGCTGTTGTTGTTTCAACAGCATCGCCGATGGCATGAATGGAGGTAGAGTTTTCTTGTTTATTATTGGCTAGCAATTGTTGGCTGGAAATGTCCAATTCACTGATGCTATTCTGTAGATGTAATCGAGGGTGTTTGTGTTTTGTTTTTGTTTTTTTTTGGTTTTTTTTGTTTTGGTAAAAGAAGGGGAAGAAAGTAAATGTTGTGTGATTAATAAATAAGAAGAAATAATGACAATGGCAACTAAAGCATTATTTTACCTACATACATATGTACATACATATATAAGTACTTACAAACAAACTTAGTAAATACTTACAAATCGGAAATGTCGCCTTAAAATATATTTCTCTTAATTAGAGAAAAAATGTTGATAATAAATACGCAATGCTACTACGCAATAATACTATGTTCTTTCAATTGTGAGCGCTCACAGCTGGTATAAATTGTATGTAAACATCGTTTAAAGTTAACGTCAATAAAAATCAGTTTTTGTAAGCGCAGGGAGGGCAGAGAGGTTGGGAGTCTTAAAATCATTTTCATACTCGCTTAGTTAACTTCGCAAATTAACTGTCGACTCGTCTCTAAATCATCTTCAAGATTTTCTAAATAAAAAGCAGGGTACAAATAATTCTTGCAGCTTGGGGGCAGTTAATATGATGTTGCATATTTTTAGGCAGCAGTGCTTTTGTTTTAGAGAGTTTCGGGAATAAAAATTTAAATAGTGTGGGGCGCACTCTTCTTTAGAAGCCAAACATTTACTCGAAGGTAATACGAGTATCATCAAGAATTTCCAGAAAAATTAGATGATTTACAGATCTCACTTGACAAGACGCAGTGGGATCAGTGGTGGCTTGAAATAACTAAAACTTGGAACTTATTTTTTTTAATGAAAATTTTAGTTATCCATGCGCGAGATCTACTGCAAACGTCCCGAGAAACAAGCAACTCACCAAAAATAATACTTTCACGCGGTGACCAAACTTAAAGCATAACTATAGTCACAACTGCTTTGCACAAAAATGTGCCGCAAAAACTTAATTATATTTGTGCATTTTTGTGAATCTTTTAGGCGCTTAGAATAATTTTTTTCGGCATATTTTAAACTGCAGTAGCTAGTAATATAGCTTTTTTCTTGTTAGCCACAGTATCCGCCTAAGCCAATTCTGGCTGAGTTCAATAAATCATGTCCTTTTTTCTGTGCCAACTGATGCTAAAAGAAAATCCCCAGGGAAGTCTAGAAGAGGCCTTCCTTTTCCCCTGCTACCACCAGCGGTGGAAGCGTGCCTTCTTGTTTTTCGATTCGGATACAGCTATATAGCCTGATAAATTCTTTAATGCTGAAACCTAGTGTTGCAGGCTACCATGTTTCGGGCCTCTTCGAATTCGATCAGCAACGGCCCGCTAACGGATGTTTCGTCGTCGTGTCTGAATTTACCAACCACGTTGGGATCAACGATTCCTTTCTTTCCCACCCTGGCATTGACATCACCTGGCACGTTTTCTTGTCATGTCAGGGATAGGGTTGGTAAGCGAACTTCGTTCTCGTCCACCAGGCTGAACGGTCTCTCTTCCATCACAAATCCAACATCGAATTTGGGCTCCTTTAGTTAGTAGTTGCAAGGAATGTTATCTCTAACATGTTGAACGATTTCACCGTGCTGGTTCCAAAAGTTGTCAGCAAGGCACCCGGTGAGAAAACCTTATTCGAGCAGGCTTGAAGGCCCCAAGATGGTATTTTTTTTTAAAGAAATTGATTCGATAAACACCGCATCGCCAAATATATGTATGCACATCGAAAGAAATTATTTGAACAGAAAGAATACACCCCATTCCTACGCGATGTCCAATGCATTGCGATTATTTGAATTAGGTTTTCCCGCCGGGTGAACGCTGCCAGACGAAAAAAAAAATTGTCTACGATTCGAGCACAATGTTTTTTCTATAGTTTTTGGACAAAATATGATAAAGCACACAATCAAGCATTTTATGCAAACGGCTAAAATAGGTATTTGGGAACTAAAAACAAACAAAAAAGCAAAACAAAGTGTAGAATAAAAAATGTTATGTGATTTAGAAAGCAGAATACCAACTTTTTTTTTTAAATTTACAAACTCAAAACTTAAAAAAAACTTAAAAATGTTGTTTTTAATTTTGCTTAGTATACATTTTTATTTCTTTTTTATAAACATTGCCAATTTCAAAAAAAAAAGTGTTTTATATATTAATACTTAAATGCTTAATACACTTTAGTGACCAATTTCGATTATTATACGAACTAAAGGAATATAAAAAATAGTTTAACAATAATAACCTAACATTTTAAGTACAATTACATTTACTTAAGTACAATGTACAATGTTTAACGATGAACATAACTTAACGGGTTCTTGGGTTATGGGCTGAAATGTAATCCTGAGCGAAAGAAGGGACAAAGTCTGAAAGTGTGGACCAATTTTTTGGCAGGAAAACCTTTAATCAATAAAAAAGAGAAGTGTATTGCAGCAAAAGTTAATTTCAATTTTGATGGGTGATAGGTGTTGAAGTTTAGAGTATTAATTGATTCCTATTAAGCAAAATGTAAGTTTTACATTAGATGAATTGCTATAATTGTTGGAATGCAACTACAAAGGGATAGGCAAGCAAAAGGCACATAATTGAAGGTTGAAGAAAGCGTGCATTTTGAAGTGGAAAGTAGGAGTACTATTAGTATAGGAAGTTGAAGATAGAAAGTAAAGAAATGTAAGACTTACAGTGAGGAGCAAAAATGTCAAAATGGTGTTTTTTTTAACCGACTTCAAAAAAATTAGGTTATCAATTCGTCGGAATATTTTTTTTTAATGTATGTTACCGCATAACTTTGGATCACGTCAGCGGATTTCTATAATTATATTTTTTTTTTTTTGTTAAGAAAGTTGGTTTAGATCCGATTATTGGATCATGAAGAAGTTTACGGTACTCTTAAATTTTTATATGAAAATTGAAGTCGGTTTTATTTTTTGCTTAAAAACTACTTGTTTAATACTAACCACGTTTTGCATATTAAAACTTTTTTACTGCTTTAATCAAAGTTGGAATTTTCACAAAATTTGCATACTTTATGATATGCTTTTCTAAAAAATTTCTAAGTATGCAGTTTTATAACCCATGAAATTTTACTACAATAAAGTGCAAGTTGGAAGGCTTTAAAAATCGCGTTGATTTTTAATAATTTCTTTTCTATATTGCGGTTTTTCAACGAATGTAAATATAAATATTTTATGGAATAAAATGCGCAAGACCATCTGCAAACAAAATAACACCAATACTTTCATAATTTACATTTGTTACAAAGACCATCAGCAAAAAAAAAATTCAAACTCAACGCGATTTTTTCGAGTCTTCAAGCTTGCACTTTGTTATACTAAAAATTCATGGTTATAAAACCGCACACTCAGAAATGTTTTAGAAATTCAGATCATAAAGTAAGAAAATTTGTTGAAATTTTAAGAATTTTTCTATTTTTTGTTTAACTGGTTTTTATCAGAAATCAACAAATAAAGTTTAACATGAAAAACATTTAATATTTGTAAAAAATCACTATTTTGACACTTTTTCTCCTCACTGTAATATTTTTGAAGAAAATTTATTTGAGCTCACAATTTAGGCGACGGAAGCAGAAGTGGCCTAACTCAACATTTTTTTTGTAGTTAACTTCTTAAAATAGTTTCAAATGTGATAAATTTTAAAATAAAGGTCGCTTATGCATTACTTTCATGATACGCTATGCAGCTGTGTACCTTTTAATTAAAGAATAAGGTACACAAAAAAAGGGTTAGGCCACTTCTACTCTCATGGCATCAAATAATGTTTCGATAAATTAATGATAATGGGATATATTTTACAAAAGCTTAAATAATTTTGAAGATTTTTATTAGCTTTGAGTGCTAATATAGACTAAGGTTATTGTCGTTTTGAATTTATTTTCAAGAGTCCAATGTGTAATTTAAATTTAAGAAAAAGTCGACTTTAAACATTGCCAAAAGTTTTTTATACACAAGCTATTAAAAAATATAATTTTGTTAATATTTTATCCAACAAGCATCTCTTTTGAATTTTAAAAAGTTTATTTATCAGCTATTGCAAGAAGTTTTGCGGTTTTGTATATCCCAATATGTACCTACCTACATGTTCTTAACGTCGACTTTAACTTTTTCCTGGATTAAGGTACGATTAACAATTAAAAATGACGACGAGTGTACTTAACACAATTTAGTTTTCAGTTGTTTTGTTAGTGCTCAGGTTTCCCAGCCCATAAGCTAGTGAAAAGTTTACAGTTTTCAGCTTAAATCCAACCCATAAGCTTCGCAAACAAACCAAAGAAAGAGATCATACAAATTTTGACTTAAACTAACTTACATTATTTGGTGTTGTACATAAAGCTAAAGTGCAGTGTGATTGATATTAAAGCGTTAATACACCTACAACACTTAAGTAAACGCCTTCGTATTTAACCATTCCATACTCACCCTCATCATTTTGCGCAATTTCATTGAGGTGCCCATGGACTGTAGACGATAGCGTTCCTTGGCACGTTCACGTATCTTCTCGGGCACGACCAATAATGTGGTGATAATATTGCCGCTGAAGAGCAGAAGGAACAAGCCGCACAACACAGATACCTATAGCAAACGAAATGTAACAAGAAAAATGGTTGAGTCAGCAAAATTAAGATTCAAAACAAAAAAAAAATTAAGAAAATGAGAGACGAAAGGCAAAAAGTCAATAAGGATTATATGTACATACAGGGGAGCAGGGCGGCAACAGAGCCGGGCAGAGCGCGTGCAGATAGGGCGCTTGCATGCGAATTAGCTGAATGAATTAATCAATTAGCCAGCAAATCAGGCACAATCAACCAATGCATTAAACCTAGGACGAAAGCCAAACGCACCCAAATATGTATGTAAATGCATGCTAGCCTCTATATACTTAAACAGGCACAGGCACAAGCACAGACAAATAATTCAGCACTTTAAGGTGCTCCACAAGCATATCTACAAGTGTGTACATATGTACCTACGCCCGCCAGTCGCCTGCTGCCACTCAAGCAGCCACTCAATAAATCACACACAATCAGGCATTGACAAACATCTACAAAAACACACACACTAATAGACTCCCTCACTCATTTAATTGTTTCACTCCCGGCGACCTCGTTGGCCAAACTTACATGCCATGGCGCTCCTGGCGGTTCCGTTGTCAACTTGTAAAGGGTCCAGGCGTTGTATGCTTGGAATGTATAGCCGCCGAATAGGAATGGTAGCAGAAAACTCAAACCACGCCACATCCACGAATGGAAGCCTTCAATGGTGATATCCATGTTGTGACGTTCACCGAGCGCCTTCAGTCGATAGAGCAAACCCTTTTGGTAGCCAAATTGCAAATACTGCACAAGGTCTGTGTGAATGAAGAAACAAACAAAAAAAGCAGAAAACACAAAAAATGAAAAGGATGTATGAATAACAAAGTAGTATGCTTGCTGTTGTTGTTTTTATGAATGGCGATGATTTTCAGTGGTGGTATAGAAGATGAGGGTAGCTTGTTATAAATAGGCAAAGCGCAGTGCAAATAAATCAGCAATTTTTAGTGCATGTGTAGAGGGCCTGCTTTTGCATAGCATTACCAAGGATAAGATAGGAGAATCTATGTATTTATGTATGCATGCAGATGATACAGCGACATAATATTTATGTTTTCACTGCTCCGTGCATACTTACTTATATAGACATTGAAGTACATGAATTGCGTGCGGAATAGCTGCCAATGCTCGCCCTGCGGCCACACAAGCAATACACCAGCGGCTGCCGTTGAGATAAAGTGATGCGCTCGCCACCAGCCTTTAATGCGTGATCCATTTACTTTGAGTATCGATTCACGAATGGTGAGTGTACAGTAGTACCAGACTAGTAGAAAAATGTAGGCAAGTTCGAGGGCCCTGAAAATGGAGAAAAAAAACAACAAGTTGTTTATATTAGTTAAAAAGCAACAGATTAAAACCACATGTAGCAGTGAAAGGTAAAATAAATGTAAACAAAAAAAATATGCAATAATTTGTCAACGACACCAAAATGCCATGGAATAACCATTTACGATAAGGTTACGGTAACGATAACAACCTGTATACATACATAAGTTTATATTCCATTAAAATTTTTATATGTTATCGAAATATGATCGATAAACCTATCTAACAACTTTATTACGATCCATTTTCTCTGTATTGTTAAAAGATTTTGCTACGATACATTTCCTCCATATTGCTATCGATTTTGTTACGATGTATTTTTTCAATATTTTTATCGATTTTCTACGATACCGTTATCGATTTTCTTAGGTTAAATTTTCTCTATTATGTTATCGATATACAATCGTAAATCATAACCGATAAATATATCGACTTTT